CCCCACCTCACCCCCCGCCCCGGGACAAGAGCAGAACGAAGCCGTGGTGCCCTGGCTTCAGGAAGGGCTTGGCTCCAGGAGACTGAGTGCCTACAGCCAGGTGGGCCCAGACGCGTTCCACTCACACAGCAGGCACTGCACGCAGGCTGCCTGGACAATGCACACGTCACAACACGCCCAGAAACAGCAGAGCCGAGGACCTGGGCGCTCTGTAGGGAGGGCGCCCAGTGGCTCTGAGGGCCTGGAACGCTCTTGGCTTTTTAAATACAGTGTTTTTTTAAGCTGAAGGCAAGGTGCAAGCTTATTAGTTCCCCTGCACCTGGAGGACCACTGTGCTGGGTGTGCCCCTCCCCTGGACCTGGAGGACCACTGTGCTGGGTGTGCCCCTCCCCTGCACCTGGAGGACCACTGTGCTGGGTGTGCCCTCCCCTGGACCTGGAGGACCACTGTGCTGGGTGTGCCCTCCCCTGGACCTGGAGGACCACTGTGCAGGTTTTCAGAGTGTGGGGGTCAGCGCACAGGAGCTGGTCCACCACGAGCAGAGCCCGATCCCGGCCCCACAGTGACGCAGGCAGCAGCACACGGAGGGCCCACGTGCGCAGGGACCGCTCTGGGCTGGGCTGCGGCGTCTATCACGCAGGAACATCTGGGTATTCTGGGCGGGTCCCACGGGCAGCGCGGGGAGGCACACGTACCGAGCAGTGTTTTGGGGTTGGTGAGGCCCAGCTGCACAACGGGGTTATCCAGGATGGCTTGGAAGAGGGGGCTGTTGGGGTCGATGCCCTTGTCCAGCTCCTCGGGGGAGGGCTTCCGGTCCCCCAGCAGCCACTCGCACTGCAAGCAAAAGCGCAGCCGTCAGCCCTGGACGGTCACCACCCAACAGGCCCTGCGCTGACTGGGAGGGGCCTTCCCGGGAGAGCAAAGCCCCGATGCGGGGCACTGTAGGAGGGAGGACCCACCCGGCCTTCTGAGCGCAGCCACCGCCCCGTTGCTGAACGGGTGCAGCGCCTGCCCGAGTGCTGGGAGGAGAGAAAGAAATTCGGACACTGGGGGAGGTGGCCTGGGGCGTGAGCATTCCCGTGACCGACTCGTGACCGCTGGCTCTGCCACCCGAAGGGACGAGCCAGCCACCGCTGAGACACCCCAGGCAGTGCCGTCAGCAGCCGGGGTGTTCGCTGAACAGGACCCAGCTCAGAACTTGTCTAACAAAGCGAATGGGTTAGAGCCCAGAATCCCGAGTACTTAAACTTTTCATACAATCAGAATCTACCCACTGTCTCGCTTTAAAAGCGAAACAGCGGCCTGCCTGCGAGCCCCCCAGGAGCCTGCCGACATGGGGCGCTGCCACGGCCCTTGCCCTGTACTCACAGCGGCGCTCTGCTGGTTGTTGCTCACTCTCAGGGCGTCCATCACCTCCTTCTCGTCGAAGCCCATCTCCATGAGGGAAATGACGGCCTAAGAAGAAGCCACAGGCCCTCAATGCCGTGCACTGGGACCCGGTCCACGGGCTAACTTAGCAGAGGGCTTCACCCAGCACCACGGTCCACTTCACAGCTGTCTCCTCACAGGCTTCCTGACACCGAGGGACAAGGCCAGGAAGGCGGAGGGCGCCTGCCCTGGGGACAGACCGCGGGGACGGGACGCCACTCACCCCAGAGCCAGAGGGGCCAGGCTCGCCTCAGAGCCCTCGGTGAGCTCCGTGGTTGTCGGGGTACAACCGCCTCACCACCCAGGCAGGCCCTAACGTCCTCGCTTTCGACTGCCCCCACGTTATGGTCTGACGCACTGGGCCTGTGGGCACAGGTGCTGCCGTGTGGGGTGGCCTTTGCGATGCGCTGGCCTGGCCTGGGTGTCAGAGGCTCCAGAGAACTCGGGAAAGAGCCTGTGGAGCCCACCTGCTCTGTGAGCTCACAAGCCAGTGTTTTCTTTACATACATTTTTCTTGATTTTAGAGAAAGGAAGGGAGAGGAACAGAGAGAGACCCAAACATCAATGTTCCCGTCCTGGGGATCGAGCCCACAACCCGGGCATGTCCCCAGACCGGGAACCTGACCCCTGGGTGCACGGGATGATGCGCAACCACGGAGCCACGCCAGCCACAGCCATCAGCCAGGATTTCCTCCTCCCAGGCTCTTTACTGGCTCTCTGGCCCCTCCTAGCTCCAGGCCCATCATGAATGACCAGAGAAGTCATCAGAGTCGCGCACAATCACCAGGAACCCACTGCTGAATCAGGACAGGGTGGCCTCTTCCACTAACGTCATAGACTGTCCTCCATCTCGGCCGGGAAGAGATGCCCAAACGTCCCGGCGGTGACACAGGGACGCCCCCCATTCTCACGGGAGCACCGGGCAGGGTCCTGGCACCAGGGCTGCCCGTCTGCACACGGCACACTTGCTGGACCTTCCCCCGACTGGACAGATCAGGGAGAGGCCGACGCCCGGCCCTCAGACCCCGCCCCTCGTTTACAACTGCTCTAGGAGGAGCACCTACGGGGGTTTCCACCACTCAGAGGTGAACCCCCACGGCTCACGGGCCCTGGTTACGCGACAAGGACCTGCTGTGGGTTCAGCAGGTGGCAGATGTGCTGACTGGCTGCTCAGAGGAAACGGCCTCCGGGACCCAGTGAGGACTGAGGGCGGCCCCAGGGCTGGCGGCTCGGCTCAGCGCGTGGCCCAGGCAATGCCACCCAAGGGGACAGCGGCGGGTCTCCCTGGCAGGACACGTACCCGAGCGTCAGCCCGAAATGCCCTTTTCCTTCGGATCTTCTTGAAGATTTCTGTGAGCTCATCTCTGGCCTCCTCATCGTCCTCGCTGGAGCCGGCAGCAGCCTCGGCCGAAGCTTCAGCCCCTGTGGTACCCGGCGAGGTGTGGCCTGGAAGCGGCGTGTCTATGGCGGGGTCGTCCGCGTGCTCAATCAGCCACTCCATGGCTTGAGGAACCGACATGCTGAAAGGTAAGCAGCCTTTCCAACACGTCCAGGTGTCCCGAGGCCCTTTCCCTCCCCTCAGGACAAGCCCTGCAATGGGAGGAGGCCTCGAGCAGGTGCTGCCGACCCCCTGCAGTGAGGACCTCCACTCAGGCCTGTGGGGGCCGGGCCAGACCACAGAACCCACTCTGTGAGCAAAAGGAGCCCGAGGGCTCAGGACCCGGGAAGAGGAACGTGGCCACGGCCCGTCCTCTGGCTGACGGACCGTCTCGGCTCTGACGTCCACGAGGACACGTAACCAGAGAGCGGAACTGAGGACTGTTAGAGACCACACGGCCCTCCCCCTGGGGCGCCCCCCACCCCCCCGACTCACGAAGCAAGGCTGTCTCTAGAGCGAGCCGGGTTCTGACCTGCACACGTGGTGCCAGGCCAGTGACTGCGGGGCTGGCGTTAACTCACACGCTGGACCTGACTCAGGGAGTGTGGGACAGGGAGTCACCGCAGGGCAGACCCTTAACCAGCCCCGGGCGGGCCCCACGTACTGGTTCAGCCGAAGCGCCTTCACGGCCCTGCTCTCGGGGAAGCCCATCTCCGTGAGCTGCCGCAGGGCCGTCTCGTCCACCCGCTCCTCCTCGTCCTCATCCAGCATCGCTGTGGGCGACATGTGGCCGGTGAGGGGCCCTGGCAGGGCTGCCCACGAGGGGTGCTTCCCAGGCACCCCTTGGAGCTCTAGGGCCCCGTCTGAGCCCCAAAGGTTGGTGGCGACTCTGCTGGGCCTTGGGACACCTGAGGCGCCCCGTCAGCTCTCGTAGGAACAGGAATGTGGGTGAGCAGTTCCCCGCCCACGTCTACTGAGCAGAGACAGCAGCCCGGGCAGCTTCAGCTTCAGGCTGTGGGGAGCAGACGCCCGGACGTGGGGACACGCCACCCACTCGCACGTACCATTGGCCTTTGTAAATAACTCCACGGCGCCGGGGCTCAGCGCCAGCAGCTTCTGCGCCACCTCGATGAGGGACAGCAGGATCTTCCGCAGCTCCGTCTGGAACTGCAGGGAACGGTGGGAAGAGGGTGAGCAGGGAGAGGGTGTCTCAGGGCTCTGAGCGGAGGGGGAGGGGCTGTGACACAGAGCGCAGCGGTCCCGTCCCTGGGACCTGTACCTTGAACGGGACTGGGAACCGGCCGTCCCTTCCCACAACCAGCCTCAGCCACCGTGTGAGACACCACGTGGGGACACACCCAGGAGACAGTGCCAGGGCCCCAGGCCCTGCTCAACATGGCACCCTGGACAGAACCCAAAAGAGGCCGCTGCTACAGTGGAGCAGGGCTGTGGCAGTGCCGAGACGGGATCGACGGGGCGCCCACCCTGCAGGGCACAGGCGCCCGAGGGCCGGGCGCTGCTCCCTCACTTACGACTTCCAAGGCGAAGTCCCCGAGACCCTGTCAGACCTCGTCTAGGTTCCTGCCAAACTCGGGACAAAACTCGGGCATTGAAGCACCCATCCTTCCAGCCCGGCCTTCGGTGTCTTTTAAAACTTTTACTTCAAAAAAACTTCAGGTTTACAGAAAAGTTGCAAAAAGTACACCGAGCTCCAGTATCCCTGTCACCCAGCCTCCCCAGTTCTTTCAAGAACTTCTGGGCGCCCCACAGGGGT